CATGCATGTTAGGCAAGTGCTCTACCACTAAGCCACATTCCAAGCCCTCAATGTCTCGTATCTGTGCTAGGTACTAAGCTCCATGCATACATAACAAGTCTGCAATAGACTTAGTGGCTAGTACCATATACTTTTGCCCTGAAAGCTGTTCTAATCATCTTTCATATCCAGCCTTTGCTTTGAATACTCCCCTCAGGTTCAGTGCTATGTGACTTTCCTGATAAAATTCTCCTGGTATTTCAATGACCATGATCCTTTGATTAGTGATGAAATGCACATCTGCCATACCAAATAGCAGGTTGTGAGGTTAGATCACATTGCCACTATATTATGACTTGAAAAGAGTGTGTTAAGGCTGGGGTGTGGCTTAGTGGTGGGGTGTGGCTCAGTGGTAGAGTGCTACCAAGTGGGAGACTGAGTTCTAGTCCCAATATCAGAGGGAGAGAAGAAGAGAGAGTGAGGGAGAGAGGAAGGGAGGGAGGTAGAGAGAGAGACAGAAGGTCAGAGAGAGGGCGGGCCAGAGAGAAAGCACCAGTGTTGTTCTTACTAGACTCCTGTTTCTGTAATGCTTATATGCCAATGGGAATTTTATCCAGCATTCCAGGCATGATCAAGGATGAGTCATGAATGACAAGGATTTAAAGGTAACCACATAATTCCTCATGTCCTTCTGTATTTAGTGCGCACTTGGATCATAAATGGATGATGTGTGTAGTAGAATGAACTCAGGGCTTTGCCCATGCTAATAAGCAAGCCATGCACTCAGCTTTAGCTCTAGTACATTTGTTATTTGTTGGAAGAAGTGAGGTATAGTCACCAAATTAATGGGGCAAGCAGAGGAGTGGAAGTAACACAGTTGCTCCGGCTGGTGTAACAGGCATGCAGCAAGGTAAACAAGCTCCACTGGGAGGAACTTGTGGCCTCATTTCAACAGCACCTGCAAGTTGAAGTCCATGCAGGTTGGGAATTTGTGAGGGCATTTTTCTTTTTTTTTTTGTCGGTCATGGGGCTTGAACTCCGGGCCTGGGCGCTGTCCCTCAGCTCTTCAGCTCAAGGCTAGTGCTCTACCCCTTGAGCTACAGTGCCACTTCCGGTTTTCTAGTGGTTTATTGGAGATAGGAGTCTCATGGTCTTTACTGCCTGGGCTGGCTTTGAACTGAAATCCTCAGATCTCAGCCTCCTGAGTAGCTAGGATTACAGGCATGAGCCACCAGCGCCCAGCGGCATTTTTTTTTTTGAAACCTGCTACCTCTCTCTATCAAAGTTGGTGAAATGTGTTGTCATTTAGCTTCCTAAATTCAGATAATTGTGTTATTAACCAAAATCCATACCCAAATGCTCATAGAACAGTGCTTAAGATGATAATGATTGGTCCAATAATGTCTCCCTTGAAGAAAGAATGCACTGAGTGAATTCATTATATAAACTACTTAAAATAGAGCCAGGCCAGGCACCTGTGGTACACACTTATAATCCTAGCTACTCCAGGCTGAGATCAGAGGATCACAGTTCTAAGCCAACTCTGGGCAAGGCACGAGACTCATCTCCAATTAACTACCAAAAAGTTGTAAATGGAGTTGTAGTTCAAAGTGGTAGAGTGCTAGCTTTGAGCATAGACGCTCAGGGACAGCATCCAAGCCTTGAGTTCAAGCCCCATGACCAGGAAACCAAACAAGAAACCTAACTGAAGCAAGTGCAGCCACACTCCTCAAATGTGGGCATTTGCCATGAGGAAGCCAGGCAATGAAGCCTTGAATTTAAACAGAAACACCTCCAGATATGCATTTGTGAACCAGTACTTTGTAGTTTTTGGTGAGTATGACAGTGGAGGTTGCAGGTCTGAGCTCACACATAAGAGCATCACAGGCTGAAAATAGCCAGGCACCGATGGCTCATGCCTGTAATCCTACTCAGGAGGCTGAGATCTAAGGATCACCGCTCAAAGCCAGCCCAGACAGGAAAGTCCATGAGACTCTGATCTACAAAAACCACCAGAAAACTGGAAGTGGCGCTGTGGCTCAAGTGGTAGAGTGCTAGCCTTGAGCTGAAGAGCTGAGGGATAGCGCCCCAGCCCTGAGTTCAAGCCCCATGACCAACCCCCCCACCCCAAAAAAGGCTGAAAATGTGTAGCTCTGGTTATAACCAGGTGCCAGGTGACTCATTCCTATAATCCAAGCAGCTCAAGAGGTTGAGATCTGAAAATCATTGTTTGAAATCAGGGCAGTAAAGTCCATGAGACTCATCTCCAAAAAGCCAGAAGTGAGAAATGGCTTGAGCCTTACCTGGCACAAAGAAAAAAGTTTTAAACAAATGAAGTAAACAGAACGTTCTTAGATGAACAACTTCTACCACATAGAAAGAAATACACTTACAGATACTAAGCATAGAAAAGGGTGGTCTCTATAACCTTCAGTGGTGGATATGATCTCCATTTGTACAGTCTAATACATTAGTCACAAGCCACCTATTTACTGAGCATCTGCAATGTGGCTAGTACAACTGAGCAATGTTTTATGTAGGTTAACAGCTGCATATGGCTAGTAACTGCTATAATGGGCAGAAAAGTGCGGAACTTCCATTTGCTGAAGAAATGCCATCAGCAGGAAGGGAGAAAGCTTAACTTTCTCTCTGTAGCCAAGAGTCATGTAAGTGAGGGCTGGGGATATTGCTCAGAGGTAGAACACTTGCTTAGGATGAGCAATTCAATCTCACACTCGTAAGAAAATGATGGGTGGACCAGAATTGTCAATACACTTGCACAGTTTGTCAAACTGATGACAGAGTGTTCTTGGAGGGTGAGGGCCAAGGGGTGTCTTAAATGGACCACACAGTATATAGTCTGTTTGTGCCACTACTGCATCTTAAACTTGAGCTGAGCACTCAGCTTTTTTGCTCAAGACAGGCACTCTACCACTTGACCCACAGCTCAATTTCTGGCTTTTTGTTGGTTAATTGGAAGTAAGAGTCTCATATACTTTCCTGCCAGGCTGACTTTGACCCTAAGGTTCTCAGATCACAGCCTCCTGAGTAGCTAGGATTACAGGCATAAGCCATTGGAACCAGACTATGGTTGTCATTTTAACTAGTGTATAGTTCATCTGCTGTTAGCTATTGGCAGTCTCCTTGGGAAAGCACAGATCAGGTAATAACAGTAAACTATGTTCCTTCTCTACTAATCTTATCCAAATGTAGAACAAGTTCAGTAGTAAAAGCTGTAGCTAAGATACAATGGAACAAAGGGATGTGGTTCTTTGCAAGTGGAAATAATAACCCAATCAGCTCCAAACTGGCTCACAACCGAAGGGGGGAAAAATGCTAGCAAGGTGTAGCTTAATAGTAGACCATTTGTCTACCATTCTCAAGGTCCTGAGTTCAATCACATTACCATTCATAGGAGGAAAATAGAATGCAGCACAATGAACATCATCAAGTTTCTAGTGGAGCTCCTTAAAGTCTCTAGCACATGCTGGGTTTAAATTTAGTATCTCAGACTTGTTAGGAAGGTGTTCTACAAAGCCATATCTATATGCCTTTGCTTTAGTTTTTAGCTAAGGCTTTTTTTTTTGTGGCCAGCAGATGGCCTTGAATGGCTAACCTCCTATGAATGCCTTCCAGATAGCTTATAGATATAAACCACCATGACTGGATTATTTGTTGAGATGTGGGTCTCCATAACTGTTTTGCTCTGGCTTAGAGTCTTGAGTCTCCTGATCTCATATTCCTCTAAGGCAGGTGAGATTATAGGTGCACACTACCACATTCAAAACCAGATTTTGTTGTTGGTCATGGGGCTTAAACTCTGGGCCTGGGCGCTGTCCCTCAGCTCTTCAGCTCAAGGCAAACACTCTACCACTTTAGTCACAGAGCCACTTCTGGACTTTTCTGCTTATGTGATGCTAAGGAATTGAACCCAGGGCCTCATGTATGCAAGGCAAGCGTTCTACAACTGAGCCACCTTCCCAGCCAAACCCAGGTTTTCTTCAACTCAAAGTTTTGTGTGTGTGTAGGTCCTGGGACTTGAACTCAGGGCCTGGGCACTTTCCCTGAGCCTTCTCTCTGCTCAAGGCTAGCACTCTACAGTGTCACTTCTAGTTTTTGAGTGACTAATTAGAGGTAACAGTTCATGGGGACTTTTTTTCTGCCCAGGCAGGCTTAGAACAGCCATCCTCAGATCTCAGCCTCCTGATACAGTAGCTAGGATTACAGGTGTGAGACATTGGCTAACCCTACTGAATTGTGGGAACATTTTCAGCCTCTTACCAAAGAATAAAGGAAATCAGGACATCAGTTTTACATTGACATTTTTATTAACGCCAACTGTTTTTAATTATTTTTTAAAATGATAGCACAAAGTTTCAAGGAAGCAGTCTCACAATCTGATGACCTTCCAAAATACAGTTAAGCCACACCAAATATGAATTTGTTAATAACAAATTTTTTTTAAAAAAACAGGAGAAAGAAAAATAAAAAGGGACAGAGGAAGGGAAAGATTTACAGTTCAAACTTACTAGATTCGGTAGGTGAGGCTCATTAGTAGGATACACTGTGGAAGCAGAGTGGCACACATAGGCGTAGTCTGTTTTTTAAACCAGTTACCACTAATATGTGGGCCCTGCAGCAATTACCACTGGCTTCTCACATGCACACGAACTAGGAGAAGCCAGATTTGGGTTGATACTGTTATAGAGAGGTTCAATGATTGGCCTGCCAGACAACCAAGACCATTTTTAGCAGAATAACTCCCTCAGAAATCTTTGTTTCTATCTCACCTAGTATTTTCTTCAAGGTACTTAAAAGTCATCTTAAAAGAGAAAGAAAAAAGCAATGTATATCAGGTTTTTATTCAATGTGGCTATGGGAGATGTTTCCCTATTATTTCTTGATCTCTAAGGACACTGGGAGTGGGGACTGGGATAGACCTAAAGGGAAGAAAAACCCATAACAGGGTAGGTTTTATAGTTTTTAACTTTTTTTTTAAACTTTTTAAAACTTTTATTAACTTTTTTTTTGGGGGGGGGGGCAAGAGGGGTCACACAGAAGGGAGGCGAGGAGGAAAACTACAATCCTTGGTTCAAACTGAGTTATACAGGAAAAGGTATCTTCCTGGTCAGACCCCATGCCCTTTCCCCTCAAAACAAAACAAAACAAAAACCCACTTGTAATTTATACACAGACTCCGACTATGTAATACCTCCTTGTCAGCCTTTTGTGTTTAGCTATTTCCAGCAATGCACATTATCTGGGGTTGTAGGCTGCTTGCAGAACCCACTTCACAAAATTCCTCTTCCCCAGAAGCCTCTAGTTTCCTTTTGGTAGGTTATAAAAACAACATCTGTCATTAGCAGGAGAGTGTTAAATACTTTGAACCACTGACAAGGCTTCAGGAAGTTTCACAGTTTCATTATGCTCTATTTTATTACTATCATATTTACATTTTTATTTTTTGCTGAATTGCTGATTTTCCTTTTTCAATAGTATTCAATTCTGGAGTGTGAGCAGGAACCCGTTAACTACATTCATTGTCCAACCCCCACTGGTTTTAAAGAAGACTCCAAATTCTTGGCATATGAATCAGCTGTTCCGTGGCTCCACCTTATCCCTGCAGGGAAGCAGCAAAACTGCAGCAGTGGCTTGCTCACACTCCGGGTTCACACTGCTGGTGGTGAGGCTTTCCGCTGAAGGAGGTACTGATGGATACTGTCGGCATCTCGCTTGAGCCAAGCAGCATTCAGCAGGATATTTTCACAACACTGCTGGATGGTACGCTCAGCTGAAGGAGCTGGGTGACTCTCAAAGAAAGCCTGGTGTAAAACAACCCAAAATGTAGACTCACTCACTGCTAGCAATAGTAAGAAGCTAAAGTCACAGGTATAAAAAAATACTCTCTGGTTTAAATAAAGAAAACATAAGCCTCAATCATGAGAACTGACCACTGCTGCTTTTAGGCTAAAATAAGTAACCCTATGGCTGACCTGCATATAGGAATCCTCCTCCAAGTATTAAGTGTGTAAACTCTAATCTTTCTCTAAGAAAAAAAAAGCAAAGGAAATAGTGTTCTAGATTGAAAAATGAAAAGTAAACACTACTTACCTTAACTTCTCCAGCCATTTTATCAACTGCAAATCCCTCAACTGAAAGCTGAAAAACAGAAGTAGTAAATGAACCTAAGAGACATGGATCAAACTTCTACTTAACAACAACAAAAAAACCAAAACACAAAAAAAATTCAGTTTTCTCCTCAGTTTGTTCTAGAGGATGTAGAACACAGAAGTTTTTTTTGTTTGTTTTGCCAGTCTCAGTGCCTGAACTCTGGGTTTGAGTGCTGTCTTTGAGCTTCTTTTGCTTAATGCTAGCACTCTACTACTTCTGGCTTTTTCTGAGTAGTCTGTTAGTTTTTAGTTGGTCATGGGCCTAAACCCTGGGCCTGGACGCTGTCCCTCAGTTCTTCAGCTCAAGGCTAGTTCTTTACCACTTGAGCCACAGCACTACTTCCAGCCTTTTCTGCTTATGTGGTGCTGAGGAATTGAACCCAGAGCCTCATGCATGCAAGGCAAGCACTCTACCACTGAGCCACCTTCCCAGCCAAAAGAAACTTGTTTATTTTTTGTTGTTGTCATTCTTGGGGGTGGAACGCTGTCTGGGCTTGGGTGCTGTCCCTGTGCTCTTCAGCTCAAGGCAAGTATTCTACCACTTGAGCCACAGTGCTACTTCGGTTTTCTAGTGGTTTATTGCAGATAAGTCTCATGGACTTTCCTGCCCAGGCTGGCTTTGAAGTTTGATCCTCAGATCTCAGCCTCCTGTGTAGCTTAGGATTATAGACATGAGCCACCAGCACCTGGCCAGAAGCTTTAACTATTTAAGGAAACTTTTAACTTCTCCAGTGCTGGAACAGAACCCAGGCCTTCACTAGGGCTAGGTAAGAACTCTACTACTGAGCTATATCTCTAGTCCTTGAAGAAACTCCAGCAAAGATAACCGCTTATGGGCCTAATAACTCATGGATATCACTCAGAATATCCACATATTGCAGGCTACTCAAGTTTCACAAACCTTTATTTTTTTTTTTTTGCCCATCCTGGGGCTTGAACTAGGGTCTGGGCACTGTCCCTGAGCTTCTTTTACTTAAGGCCAGCACTCTACCACTTGAGCCACAGTGCCACATCTGGCCTTTTCTGTGGTACTGAGGAATCAAACCCAGGGCTTTATGCATGCTAGGCAAGCACTCTACCACTAAGCTACATTCCCAGCCTCACAAACCTTTATTAGTCTGGATATTAAGAAACCTCCTTGGTATCGATTATAAAGTTCTTCCCAGTTGTCTTTTATAAACTTCCAAGCAGCTTTCCTTCCATGCTTGCTGCCTCCAGCTACTCCACCAATTACAGACACAGTATCCTGTGGACGTACCTCTTCCTAAACAGATAAAGAAGTTTAACACATCCAAAATATCTTTTAGTGCCAGAAAGTACAACATATTGTTGAAATACTGAAGAACCATATTGAAGACATTAATTCCTTGTTTCATGAATAAGTGGCACCAGAAGCTTCCAGCAAAGAAGAAACAATTAACCTAAAGACCAGTCAAACTGAGAATGAGGCACAGACAGGAATAAACAAAAAGACAGCTCAACAGATACTGCTAGAGTCCTATAGGATAAAAAGACAAAGTAAGCAACAAAGGACAGCCTCCCAATTCATGATCCCTTTTTTCATTGTTCCACTCTATTACCACCTCTCTCAACAATTCAGATTCTCACCACTAGTGGGAGATAGCAGAAGTTGGTAACAAAAACAACAGTTTTCCCAGAAGGGGAAGTACTAGTTTAGTGTTAAGGTAGATCAAGATGATTCTGAATCAAAGACATTGACATTTGCCTTAGATCAATTAGCAACAGTTCCCTCTTAAAGCAGTTTTCCTTATAACTTACTGAAAGTGCAAAAGTGAGGACTTTTTGAATCAGTTCAGGTGAAAGAGTAGCCCCAAGGACTCGTTCAATTCGGTTTTTCTCTTCTTGCATATCAGCTTGTTTGTGAAGCTATAGGGAAAAATAATAAAGACAAGGATAGTTAGCTCTGCTCTGGAAATTCTGTGTATGCTTACATAAGCTTCTCTTCCAATATGGTATAACTTCCATCTTTCATTCTCATGGGTAAAACTAGAATTACATTAAACAGTACACTTGTTCAGATGGCTGGGCACTAAATTTGTCATTACAGTAAATCATTAGATCAATAGCCTGTCCTTTCTAAACCATTTAACATCAGGATCTAACATCACAATCTGAAAAGTAAGCTCAGCAACAGTGGCTCACATCTACAATTCTGGCCACTTAGGGGGACCAAATCTGAGGCTCTCAGGAGGAAACCAAATCAGACAAATCTGTGAAACTTTTTTTTGGGGGGGAGGGGTCCGGTTGTGGGGCCTGAACTCAGGGCCTGCGCGCTATCCCTTAGCTCTTCAGCTCAAGGCTAGCACGCTACCACTTGAGCCATAGCACCACTTCCAGCTTTTTTTTTCTGCTTATGTGGTGCTGAGGAATCGAACCCAGGGCCTCATGTGTGCAAGGCAAGCACTCTACCACTGAGCCACCTTCTCAGCCCGAATCTGTGAAACTTCTATCTCTGATTAACCAGCAAAAGCTAGAGTAGAGGAATGGTTCAAGAGGTAGAGCTCTGACCTTGAACAAAAAAAAAGGGAAATCTAGAGGGCCTGATTTCAAGCCCTGGTACTAGAGGGAAAAAACTAATTAGCTGGGTGCTGGTGGCTCACACCTATAACCCTAGTTACTCAGAAGGCTGATATCTTAGGATCATGGTTCAAAGCCAGCCTGAGGCAGGAAACTCCACGAGACTCATCTCTAATCACAGAAAAAGCTGCAAGTGGCACTGTGGCTCAAGTGGTAGAATGTTGGGCTTGGGCATGGTCCCTCAGCTCTTCAGCAGCACTCTACCACTTAAGCCACAGCACCGCTTCTGGTTTTCTGGTGGTTAATTGAAGATAAGAGTTTCACGGACTTTCCTACCCAGGCTGTATCAGAATTGTAATCCTCAGATCTCAGCCTCCTGAGTAATTAGGATTACAAGTGTGAGCCAGCAGCACCCAGCCTAATTATTAATCTTATGCTAGTAAAGAGCTGGATACTGTAATTATTAATTTTTTTTGGGTCCGGTCGTGGGGCCTGACCTCTGGGCCTGGGCGCTGTCCCTCAGCTCTTCAGCTCAAGGCTAGTGCTCTACCACTTGAGCCACAGCGCCACTTGTGGCTTTTTTCTTTTTGCTTATGTGGTGCTGAGGAATCGAACCCAGGGCCTCATGCGTGCAAGGCAAGCGCTCTACCGTTGAGCCACCTTCCCAGCCCCTGTAATTATTAATTTAAAAAAAGATGTATTTGAAAGGTACAGTGAATCATAGTCCCTCTTCAGTTGGCATGGTGGTACACATCTGTAATCCCAGCTCAGGAGTCAAAGGCTCCTGACAAAAGTACAAGACCCTGGGCTGCGAAGGTGGCTCAGTGGTAGAGTGCTTGCCTAGCATGAATGAGGCCCTGGTTTCGATTCCTCAGCACCACATAAACAGTAAAAGCCAGAAGTGGTGCTGTGGCTCAAGTGGTTGGGTGCCTAGCCTTGAGCTCAAGAGCTGAGGGACAGCGCCCAGGCCGAATTCAGGTCCCATGACCGACCAAAAAAAAAGTAAATGCCCTATCTCAAAATCAAACTAAAAAGTAAAAGATCTGACACTACTGGGATTTGAACTAAGGGCTTAGACAAGTACTTTACCAGCCATTTTTATGCACTGATATTTTTGACAGGATCCTTGCTTTCTGCCCAGGCACTCGTCGGGATAGTGATTGATTTTGTATTTTTTTTTTTTGTCGGTCGTGGGGCTTGAACCCTGGGCCTGGGCGCTGTCCCTCAGCTCTTCAGCTCAAGGCGAGTGCTCTACCACTT